ACAAACAAGCCTCTCTTTAAATCTACCCCAGCAGTTGCTTTCAGAAGCAAGAAAAGAAAAGCAGAAAAATGTAGTTTTTTCCCTCTGGAAACATACAGCAATCAAAAACAATAATTTATTTTAGATGCTTTTTACAGACTTCAGGATAAAAATTGCTGATCCACTTTAAAAATCAAAGTTTTTAGTAAAGCTTCAAAAGCTTCAGGTGGTCTATTTACAGGATGTTTTGGCACACCATGGGTAAGGAATGAAATGCCTCCATTCTGGCCTCCTGTTATTGTACTACTATACATATTTTTTAGATTTATATTCTTTTCTCACCACCACTCATCTCATCTAAGTGGTTTTGGGCAGCTCACAACAATTTAGAACAGGGGCCTTCAAACTTGACACCATGTTAGCTCAAGAATTCTGGCAGTTGAAATCCAAAAGTCTTAAACTTGCCAAGTTTGAAGACTCTTGATTTAGAACAACAATGCAATAAGAACATGTTAAAAACCAATATACAAGCATATAAAATCACCAATAACTCATCAGCAGTCAAATCCATCCCTGTTTCAAGCTCAACAAAGCCACTAAAAAAGTTCCCAATCATTGACGTACATCAAGTATGATGGCAGAGCCATGTCTTCAGGGCCTTTTTAAAGGCTAGCAGGGTCAAAGCCAATCTACTTTCTGAGGGGGTGGGATGAAGTCCTTTTTATGTATTTTTGAAAGCTCATATGCTAGACCTAACTCACAGACACCAGTAATCCTTGACTTATGACTGTCCACTTAGCAATTATTTGAAATTATGATGAACCTCCCAAAGGGTATTTACGATGCATATTTGAAGTTCAAACTGCCAGTTCCCCTCATGCACACACATTATCACATTTTGGGCACTTGTCAACCAGCCTGCATATATGGCTGTTTGCAGTGTCCCATGGTCTCACACGATTTATGATGCTCTTGCTAGAAACCAGAATTTATTTTTCATTTCTGGCAAAAAAAAATAAAAAGCTCACTGAGGACAATGGCTTCCCTTAATAACTGTAGTGTTCACTTAAGGACTATTGTAATATATGTCATAAAATCAGGTTGATCAAGTGTGTATTGACTTACAACTGCATGACACACAATTGAAATTATGGGCTTCATTTTAGTTGAACATTGAGAATTAGCTATATTGAATTAGCTATATTGCCATCTGCACCTCTATAACTGTCTGGTTTGGTTCTGCAACCCAACAGAACAGACATAGAGGATAATTAGGACTGCAGAAAAAACAATTACTACCAACCTGCCTTCAATGCAGGACCTGTATACTGCACGAGTCAAAAACAGGGCTGTGAAAATATTTACAGATCCCTCACATCCTGGACAAAACAACGCAAAAGAGCACTGCACACCAGAACAACTAGGCACAAGGACAGTTTTTTCCCGAACACCATCACCCTGCTAAACAAATAATTCCCTCAATGCTATCCAACTATTTACAAAGTCTGCACTACTATTACTACTAATCATCACATCACTCCTTATCACCCATCCCCTCCCACTTGTGACTGTATAACTGTAACCTTGTCGCTTGTATCCTTACAATTTATATTGACTGTTTCCTAGTATGATTTGATTGTTGATTGTACCCTATGACTATCATTAAGTGTTGTACGTTATGATTCTTGATTCTTGATGAATGTATCTTTTCTTTTATGCATATGCACCAAGACAAATTCCCTGTATGTCCAATCACACTTGGCCAATAAAGAATTATGTTCTATTCTGAAATACTGTCTTTCTTCTCCATCAATTCCATAATATTCTCACTATGGTACCTGCTCAGTGATCTCAGAAAAAACCACCAGGGAGGTCCCACCCTAAGCAGTCCAAAACCAAATGAGATTTGTAAACTAATTCCAGGAATGTCAGTCAGAAGAGCATCAAGGACTACAGGCTGTCATATCCTACTGACAACTCAAGAGTTCTCTGAATGTTGCTCTGAACTACACCTCTGAACCTCCCTTACTACTGTATTGTTTGTGCTTTGCAGGGATGCTGAAATTGTACAGGCAATCCTCAACTTACAGCAGTTTGTTTAGTGACCATTTTGGACCTAGGCAACTTAGAACAATGCCGCCTGACCTAACCTTAGTGCACAAAATTGTCTGCTACAACATCCTACCTGTCAATGACTACTTCAGCTTCAACCGCAATAACACATGGGAAAACAACAGATACAAACTCAAAGTAAACTGCTCCAAACTTGATTTGCAGAAAATACAACTTCAGCAAGAGAGTGGTCAATGCCTGGAACTCACTACCTTACTCTATTGTTACATCCGCAACCCCCCAAAACTTTAACCTTAAAACAGTCTACCGTGGACCTCACTCCATTCCTAAGAGGACTGTAAGGGGGCATGCATAAGTGCACCAGCGTGCCTACCGTCCCTGTCCTACTATTCCCATTTATTCGTACTCATTTATTGTGTATATGCTTATACCCGTTTATATTTATATGCTTATAATGTTCATACTTATACTTGCTTTCTCATACATGCTTGACAAACTAAACTAAATAAATAAATTTGTAGTTATAACAGCACTGAAAAAAGTGACTTATGATCATTTTTCACAATTATGGTTGTAAGTCAAGGCAGAAGTCAAGAATTCTCACAAGGTTCCCCTCTTGTGTTGCAGAGGCTAACTTTTCTGAACAGTTTCCTCCATAATCTTTGCTTCTTTAAAAAAAAGATGTTTGCAAACTACCGTGACAGTTCTAATAACCAGCTCTAGATGCAGTAATTGCACCAATTACTGTATCTAGAGTTGAAATGAAATTTCCCAGGAGACATTTTTTCTGTGAATATTTGAGATGTTTTACCCACCATCCTCCCCCACCTTTATGCTCCCAAATGACACTAAACCCAAGCACTGTAGAAAGTGTTAAATGTTGGTCAGAGCCCCAGACAATTAGACACCATGTTTCTTGCTGGGATCAAAATTTAAAAGAAAGGGAAACTTGCAAAGATAGATAGATAGATAGATAGATAGATAGATAGATAGATAGATAGATGTAAGGTAAAGGTAAAGGTTCCCCTTGCACATGCGTGCTGATTGTTTCCGGCTCTAGGGGGTGGTGCTCATCTCAGTTACAAAGCCGAAGTGCCAGTGCTGTCCAAAGATGTCTCTGTGGTCATGTGGTCGGCATGACTAAATGCCAAAGGCACACTGAATGCTGTTACCTTCCCACCAAAGCAGTCCCTATTTTTCTACTTGCATTTTTACATGCTTTCAAATTGCTAAGTTGGCAGAAGCTGGGACATGTAACGGGAGCTCCTTCTGCTACACGGCGCTAGGGATTCAAACTGCCAAACTGTCAACCTTTCTGATCGACAAACTCAGTGTCTTAGCCACTGAGCCTATATAAATCTTTTATATAGATTTAGATAGATATAGATAAGGATAAATGATGAAAATGAAGATAGATAGATAGATAGATGGATAGATAGATAGATAGATAGATAGATAGATAGATAGATAGATAGATAGATAGATAGACAGACAGACAGACAGATAGATATGAGAGAGAGAGAGAGAAAGAGAGAGAGAGAGAGACAGACAGACAGACAGGCATGCTCCTGTCTAAACTCTTGGAATACTTCTTAGAAGTTTGATAAAACAGGATCCTGCTCATAAATTCTCTCTCAGCAAAGGATGTTGAGATGCCCTTTGCACAAGTGGACTGGAGTTGATGCCCTACGCCAGGGGTCTCCAACCTTGGCAACTTTAAGACTTGTGGACTTCAACTCCCAGAATTCCTTAGCCAGCTTCTCTGGCTGAGGAATTCTGGGAGTTGAAGTCCACAAGTCTTAAAGTTGCCAAGGTTGGAGACCCCTGCCCTATGCAACTTGAAGACACCTTGATTAGAAAGGCTTTGTGTGAGAACTGAAATACCTTGAGTTTGTTACCCAGAATCAAAGGAAGCCCAAAGGCAGCTGAATGTACCAAGTATCACAATAGACCATGTAACCTTTCTTCAGTACAAGGGGTTTGGACTTTCAAAGAAGTCAGGGCCCAGTAAATCATTAAGTGAGTTTTAACAGAGGTCTGCAGCTGTACCTTAAGTCTGCTATCCTGGATGGAGCCCAGTCCTAGAACTGATCCTGTTTATTAGCAGTCTATTGGCAAATCCAATCCTTCCAGGAGATGGGGGGGGGGAGGCAAAACTGCTTCGCGGAGGTCAAATAGGTCAGCCTGGCTTCCAACTGATCCCACTCTGGGAAAGACCCAATACCACTAGTTTTCCCCGAGCCCCTTCCATACTGTCCCCCAAACCGAGTTTGGGCTGGGTCTTTACAAGGAGAACCGAATCGGGGCTGCTGGCCCCTATTTCCATGTACTCTTCCCTCATCAGACCTACGGGATACGCAGCCCCGAAAGGGAAGGGAAGGGAAGGGCTCCGGGGGCGGCCAGACCTGGGGCTTCGTTGCTCGGCGCTTTCGGCTTCGAGCTGGGAATCGCGGGCTCCGAACTAAACAAAGAGGGGAATCGGAGGCAAGATCTCCGTTAAGTCCCGGATCGGGAGATCTGCTGCAGTCCGCCAGTTACAGAAACGTCCAGAGCTGCGGTGTGTCAGCCGGCCCGGGCAAAGGGGGGCGAGCCGATCCTATAGGATCGGTGCCCTCCGAGGGGAAGGGAGCCCGTGCAATCCTTCGGAGCGGCCGCGCTACTCCAAGGTCGCCCCCCCGCCCCCCATAAGCTGCGTCTCGGGCCCCCGCTACTTCAGCCCGGCCAAGTGCTCTGCCCCGATTCCCGGACATCTATCTCCCCACCCCACCCCACCCGCGCTTCCCCCGAGCCCACCAGCGCTCCCTTGCCCGTCTTCGCCCTCGCCTTCCTCTTTCAGAGACCGTCAAGCCTGGGGACCCTTCCAGATCGACCCGCGGGATCGGGCGGCGGTGCCTTTGCCTCCGCCGGCCAAGCAGACACACAAAGAAGCCGGCAAGTTGGGTTTTTACCTGGAGCCCGGAGCTGTGGCTGTGGCTGTGGCTGTGGCTGTGGCAGCTGGCCGGAGTGCACCCATCAGCCGCACCGAGGCAGGCTGCGCCCTCGGCTCCCGGCTCCAGATGCGCCTGGTGGGCTGCCGCCTTCTCCTCCTGCGGCTCCCTTCCCCTCCCCCGGCGGGCGGCGACACAGCGCTCCCTGGAGTCCGGCGAGCTGCCCCAGGGCTTCTCCTGGCACAGGGAAATGCGCCTGGGCGCTCGCTCGCTCGCTGCGGGAAAGTCTGCCCAGATTGCTCGGTCGGGAAAGAGGAAAGGGAAAGGGAAAAGGGAACGTCCCCCTCCTTCCCCTCCCTTGCTCCAGCTTTTGGCCTGAGAGCCGCCTCTAGCGTTGACAAGTCAGACAACCTTTCCAGAACTTAAGGTGCGTTTCCCGTTCCCTGGGCTGTACATTTTGGATTGATTTGGCAGCGAGAGTCCCGTGCGAGGTGTTGAAATTTGCTAGCGAAGGTCTTCTCTTCTCGGGTCTTTCCCCTCTTCCTTGATGTAGTAGCCACGCCTTTCTCGGATACATTGTAAGCTGCCCTTCTTTCGAGAAACTTTTCAGAGAGGTTCTCTGTGCTCCCATGATTTTACCTGCCAAACAAGGACTTTCCTAGATACGAAGGTTGAAGGGGGAGAATGAATGAATGAATGAATGAGTGAATGAATGAATGAATGGGATATCTTCCCATTTTACCTCATTCCAAGACCGGTTTTCCCCAGCCTGGACCAAATTATATAGGAGTCCGGAGGACTGAGAGGTTCTCAATAATATTTATTTATTTTATTTATTTTGTCAAGTGATCATTAGATAACAGGTATAAGTATAAACATAGCTATGAATACATGAAATGGATACATATAAGAAAAATAACAAGAAACAATAGGACAGGGAAGGTAGGCACATTGGTGCGCTTACACACGCCCCCAACAGACCTCTTAGGAAAGGGGTGAGGTCAATAGTAGACAGTCTAAAATTTTGTGGGGTTGGGGAAGAAACCACAGAGTCGGGTAGAGTATTCCAGGCATTGACCACTCTGTTGCTGAAGTCATATTTCCTACAATCAAGTTTGATGCGGTTAACCTTGAGTTTGTATCTATTGTTTGCTCGTGTGTTGTAACGGTTGAAGCTGAAGTATTCATTGACAGATAGGACATTGCAATGTATGATTTTATATACTATACTTAGATCGGACCGAAGGCAGCGTAATTCTAGGTTTTCTAGGTCTAGAATTTCAAGTCTGGTGGGATAAGTTTGACCTCCAAGGTCAGAGAAGGCAAGGTAGGTATCATAATGTCCATCTTTAAAAAGCCTATTTCATTTGGGACTAGAAAATGATGCATCCAGATAGAAAGAAGTCTATATAGACAGGTTTTCCGTATGATTAATTCCCTTAATATTGACTTAGCAAAGCCAGGTACCCCATAATAGTTCTCAAGTTCCAATTCTGCTATCTATTGATTTCTGCCAAAATTTTATTTTGCAACATTGCGGTTTCTAAAGGAGGTGTGTGCACATAGCTTAACTGCTGAAATTTGTGCAAATATTAATGCTTGGGTATAAATAGGTACATAATGTTGTCGGCTTTACCCTATATTTTTGGCTGTGTAAGAGCTAGATTTCATTTCCAGCTGCCCTCTCTATCATAAGAGAGATGGGTCCACAACTTTTTTTTAATGTGGATATTGTACATTTGGGAAATTATCTGTGTAAATCCATAGGAAATATTTTTTTAAAAAATCTGTAAGCTAAGTTTAACAAGGGCTTCCATGCCTTCAGATTGCATTGATAGAAACACAAATGGAAATTAAAGCTACTCCTATGGTCTCTTTTGGGGGCAAAGCAAACTCTCAGGGTCAAAGTGTCAACATTTTGATGTTACGGAAAACTTCAAAAAATACAACTTCCCTACTTGCTTGTGTATACGCCATGAATGATATTTTACAGCTGCATTTGTTCCTAAAATAATCTTCCCTTAACCTTGCTGCTTCCAACTTCAAAGCTCTTAATCCAGTCACAGTAGGGAAAATTGAACTTGTCATAAGTAAATATTTGAAAGGGATAAAGTGTGACTGAGAAAATATTACCTCGCATATGGAAAAGTTTCCATGGGCTGGTGCAGTTCTAGTCCAACCTTGACTGTGATTTAGGAAGTTTAGATTGCCCAGGTACTATAACTCACCTGGGTGAGCTCAGCCAGACATCACTGTGCCCATATATACTATATTTAGTTATGGCATTGTGGGATGGGTTTTGTCATCCACGGTGAACTAGAGGAGAAGCTCTCACCTCATAATCAGGAGGCTGTTAGTTTGATCCTAGGAGTGGCAGATATTGCACAAAGAGAAACTATCTGCTGTGAACTCTGGTAGGCATCAGGAAGGGCATTCAGCCAGTAAATGCTCAGTTAACTCCACCCAGATGAAAGGGATTACAGAAAAAAAAATGTATATATTGTCAAACCACATTTGAGGTTGTAAAATGAAATAAAGGTAAAGGCTTATCCTTACTAACAACTATTGTTTGGTTTGAAGTATCTTTCTAAATGTCACTTCAACCTTCTTGTCGACTTATGTCATGCCCCAGGTGGAGACTGACTCTGAGGGAGAGGAGGAACAGCCGACAGGAAGTGGAAGTGTGGCTCCGGAGATTGTGGAGAAGGCTGGGGAAGGGCAGAGGCCGGCTGAACAGTTAGAGGAGAACCCAGGCCCATCCCCTCTCCATCCTAGGGTACGTAGGGAGGAGAGGATAAGGGAGAGACATGGTGTACTTGGGAGGAGAGGGCCTTGATCCCCTTCATGGGCTGCAGCTGTGACAACTGAATAAGAGGACGGACATGCATGCAGGCGAACATTGGAAACAAAGCAGGGAAATATCTCTAGCTTATGGTTCCTCTCTGAGTTTGGTGTCCTTCCCAGTGTGTGTTCTGTTATCTGTGGATGTCCTCCAGCCCTTATCTTGCCTGGTTTGTGTTGTTTTTCCCCTCCTTCTTGTAACTGCTTGTGTGGGAGTTTTTTTTTTGTCTTCCATCAAGGATATTTGGCACTTGGAAGCAAAGTGAAGGAATAAAAGGGGCTTCACCGGGTTTTTGTGACTGTGTTTATTTTGTATCCCCCCCGCCCCCAAGGTCATCACAAGTTACATCAATTCCCTTAATCATATTAATGGCTGTAATTACCCTTTTAGGACCTAAAATTATTAGGGAGATAACCATATCAGGAGCATCTTAATCCTAGGAGATTCCAGGATGTACTGACATGACTAGCCATCACACAAGGTCCTTCATTTTTAAGATGTGATTGTCAAGCATCTGAAATCTTAACAGGAAGATTACGAACACATATCTAAGTTGTGGATAAACTTTTTATAGCAATTGCACTTAGATTTATATAGCAGTTCATAGTGCTTAACAGCATTTTCAAAGCAGTTTACAGAGTCAGCATATTACTCTCAACAGTTGGCAGAATTAGACTGCAATGCTACATTCTAACCACTGCACCACCACACATATAAACAAATAATATATTATTTATTTATATATTGAGTTGGATAACTTCTTTTTGACCCTACAGTCACAATTCAGTGGTCATATTTTACAGGGCATCTGCTTTGTTTTTCATCTTCAGATTTTATATTCTATGGTTTTATTTTATCCCTGTATTCTTTTGGTGAATGTGCCATACAATAAATAAATATGCATATATATCAAGCATCAGCAGCTATCTGCCTCTACCCAGTTACAACTTCGTTTTCTTTTGAAACAACTTGATTAAAATTTTAAAATAGACAAAAACTAACAACTAATAATTGAGACAAAGGGGAGAAAAAAAGAAAGAATGAAAAAAGAAAGCCAAAAGTGCAGAAAGAAAAAGAAAGAAAAAATACCAAGAAATTACTTCCAATTTTCTTTTACATCATATATAAGTATAAATTTACATTAAGATTTTACTCTGTTTACAATGTAACTTTCATTGTTTTATTGTCTACTACTTTAATAACCAAACCCATACAACATAAATTCATATTTTTCATTTTTTGAAAAAAGTTTAGAAGGGGCTTCCGATCAGCATTAAAATTAATATATTTTCTCTAATTAAAGCTGTCAATTTTGCCTTTCAAAAACCAGCCAGTTCCATCAACTTCATCATCTATTCTTCCATTGTAGGTAATGTTAAATCTTTCCAGCATTGTGCATATAAAAGTCCAACTATCATCATATAATGTATTTTAGGAGAAGGAGTGGCAGAATCTGGATGCAGAGTCAAAAGAAGAATCAGCGTAGAATTATTATATAGTCATAAATTGATTTCATTTAATCTTTCTTGAATTCCGTTAATCCTTATCTAGTGCCAAAGTATTGCTAACCATTGGTTGATTCCTGTGTTTTGCACAAGTAATAATTAATCAATTTAATTGGAACTTCATGGATAGTCCTGGTCTTTTGCACCTGGCATATATAAAAACAAAATTTCATGAGCTTTTATTCTGCAATTGTTTGTTCAAAAGTAATGTATATCTCTGATTTCAAATGTATGTTACACTTTTGAATCTTCTGAATCTATTTCTCTATATCTATCTATCTATCTATCTATCTATCTATCTATCTATCTATCTATC